GTAGCTGTTTTAAAGCGTTGTTTTTTTGGTGAAATGTGAAGATGTGATAGACCCTTAAATGTTAATGTCCTGATGGGCGTTGATTATTTGAGTTTATTAGAATATAACTTTCTTTATATATTGAATCTTTCTATCTTTCATATTCTTCCTCCTGCGCTACCCTTTTTCTTGTTTTTGCCTTTCTACCAACTTCTTTATCCTACATTTTAAAGTAGACTTGTAAAGTATACTTTTGTCATCTCCCCATGTGTAGCAGTTATTTTATCAGTGAACGCCTCTTATGTATCCAGGTCATATGGTCACAGGATCACCTATCATTGTGTAGACACAAGCGGAATGCCCCTTGTAATTATACTTCTTAATTGCAGCGCCAGTTAACTGACTAACTATTATTGAAGCATTGAACACTCCTGCATAGACACAGAATGCCAGCCGCCAACGCTACACTGACTTTCTCTTAACCACTCGTCTTTTTGTCTTTCAGAAGTAGACGAAGGAATACCTTGTCGTGATAAGGGAGCAGAAAACTAAATACTGTAAAAGTCCATCTTGCTACACACATTGCATTCTAAAAATGAGTCCCTTTTACAAAACGTATCGAAACGGTATTATATATAAACTAATACATGAGTGATGCCCAACGTTGTTCCTATAAGTGAAATGTAAGGAAAATCGACAGACTTGTTGCGTTCTTTTAGACTGTTTGCGAACTTGCCGTCTATAACCTGAAGAGCCCCAGTTGAATGACTATTCCTTTCCTTCCGAGGTTGATAAATGAGTACCGTTATGTGGGAGAAAACAGGTTACTATGGACTATTTTTGCAACATAGCTGCTGGCGGCTCTGTCTTTAGAAAATCTAAGGCAGTCCTGGCTGATTGCATGAGAAAGAAGATCAGCACTTAATCGATCCCTCATGAAAAGAAGGCACCGAAAATGGCCCCATCATGAAAGTATAAAAAGGACTGACATTGCAACGGGTGAAAAGTTTTCTCCCCTTCTTTTCCGTTTATTACATGCATGTATGCAAGGTGCCTTACATGGATCGTCACTGCCATTTTAGAAACTGGAGAAGAAAGCTGCTCCTCTTCAACAGTCCATCGAACCACCTTTGCTGTTTGACGCAAGTCCGTTTGAAAACTTTTCCGAGGACGAACTGCTCAAAAGAAACCACGAACTATTCGTGCGACTGAGGAAGCGGAGGAACAGCATCGACCCAAAGATCGTGAACCTCAGCCAAAAGCGAGAGCAGCTGAGCATTTTCATGATAAAGTAACGCTAGGTTTTTTTTCTGCAATTGCCATAATTTTGATCACATGACTATGCTCTGGCACTTTTGTTGCTCTAAGATAATTCAGGCTTCCACTGTTTAAAATATATGTGGATTAAAAACCATAATCTGTCTCGATTTGCACACTGTTACTCCTTGGGGCCATTTGTTTCTAGATTTTATGAACTGTATAGCTTACTGCACCCTAGTTGCAGAGAAGACGGTTTCAGGATTGAACAGAAGTTTTAGTTGCCTAATTCTTTTAAACACTTTTGTCAGATCGATGCCGGGTAGAATATTTATGTACGCCAATAGTATAAATTAGTGAATAACTTGTATAAGACTTTACTTTCGGCAACGCTACATCATTCTCTATAGGTCAAGCGAACCATTTAAACGGGTTACCTCATTGATTTTTGGGAACCTGTCATGTCTGGATGCAAAACCACATCACGTTATATCGAATGACAAACACGTTCGTGACACAAACAAGAGGTTGTGGTTCAAATACGATACATGACCAGTGACCTTCAGGTTTTTTAAAAAATTGATCTGAACACTTGTAATTCAACAGACGGTTGCATTGTTTAAAAAAATTTTAACTGCACTGCAGACAGCATATGACTCGGTGCGACCAAACAATTTTTAAGCCTATAAAATCCTTCTTCATAACGTCGTGTGATAATAGATGCTTACCATCTTTGCAGGGAAGAGATAATGAATGCCTTGGAGAATAACCAAGTGATCATCGTCGCTGGCGATCCCGGTTGCGGAAAGACGACTCAGGTTCCGCAGTTTATATTCGATCATTACGTACAGCCCTTCGAAGCCACCTCTTGCAACGTCGTCGTCACTCAGGTAAATTCGGTTAGCATTTTATTTTCGAAATGATTCATTCAGTCAGTTCGTTCACATGACCGTCTATCCTTTCGGGTCACAAAAACAGACGCGTCTGACATTTCTAACGTTACTGAAACTTTACCAGCATCTGAGTTTCGGAAAAACGTAACTCTTGTGTACAGCAGACTCCTTGGAGATTCAATATGTCTCAGGATATTCTTGCCCGTCGCTGGGATCTTCCACCGGTCGAATGGGCAAACAGGAGCTGTTTACTTTTATTTGCTGGAAGCTTTCGAAGGACTTGCCCAAATCATTGCAGCTGTGACTTCTCAGTCCGAAGAAGCAGCGACTGTAAAAGGCTTTCGTGGATGTCTGTATTCCATACGATACCAGGATGCGTAAAACGGGCGACTCATCTCAGAAATCGCATTTCAGTCGCTTGTAGCCGGAATAGAAGTTTTTCGGTTGTGATCCACGACTCATGACTGTTGGTAAGCATGGGAGTAAAGATCGACGGAACACAGTGAGTTTAGTTTTCAGACTCAGCTCCGTCTTGGTCACAGTAGCTTGGGCCAGATGCTAGTTCACGTAGATCGCCACTGGCTACTCAGATTCGCCGGTCGATCTCTTCCTCCAATCTTTTCCATCACTAGTAAACACGACTCGAGATAGTTGAAGATCTCCACCTGTTCCATTGCTTCGCCGTTTAATTGAATAGAGTAACAGACAGGAGAGCGAAAAAGCACTAGACTTTTCGTTTTAGATGCGTTCACACGCATGTCGGTCACGTCGCACTCGGCTACGAACTTTTCTAGAAACCGCTGGAGATCAGTTTCAGGAGGTTGCAACAAACACTAGTAAATTCATCGCCTGAACTGCGTCTTACAACTCTACCTATTTAAAATAGAAGCAGGATAGGGGCAGAAAGCGGAAATATCTCAACTTGACGCCATTTACTCTGACGCAGCACCTGCTATCAACATATAGTCATTGAATAGCCCGTAGAAACTGGCCATAGATTTCATATGTTCGCTAGCACGCCCGTAGATTGTTGCGCGAGAACTGGTCATTGGCTTTCTCTAGGTCCACAAAGTACACACAAACCGGATAATGACTTTTAAATAAACGGGCTTCAGGCGAAGATCTGACTAGATGTTTTTCGGTCTGTCATGAAGCCACACCGCTCTTCTTGTTTTCTGGAGTCCACGGCACCTCGTTTTTAGCACTCTTGCGTAGACTTTTCCCTGTAGGTATTGCCCTAATAATTGGAGCATTCCCGATCATTTCTTTTTCTGTACAGAGGTTGGCCATTCCAGTGCTCCAGCCTATTCATTTCTTCCCTGAAGTCATTGCAATTTGACAGACACTCGTAGCCTTCGCCTCGACATGCCTAATGGTTTAGGCATCTCCCAGTTCGGATTTCATGGATTTCAGCAGCCTTATGACTTTTA